GTAGTGCAACTCGAACCAGGAATGTGGGAACGTCAGGCCCAAACCATGGCAGAATCAAATATTTTGAAGGGGGCAATTTTACTTGACTTGCTTTTGACTGCATCCACAGCCATGGGTAAGACTATTTTCCATCTTACCAAGTTCTCAGACCTGACACTTATAGATTCCTATCAGCAGGAAGATGACAACTTTATATGTGAACGTTTGAAAAAGGGGGTCATTTTTAAGATTGTTATTAAAATAAACAAGGCCAGGGATGTCTGGGATGAACTGGTGTGTGAAAGTCAGCGCAGAGGGAGGCTGTCTGAAAGATAGGCGGCCGGATGGACGGGAACTTGGCATTAGGGAATATGATTCTGCCACAGAGTGATCTATAAAGACAGGGGAGGTCGGAGGTCTGCAGCTCCATAATGGGTCATCATCACTCAGTGGCGTCCACAGTGGAATAGGCTGTGTCTTCAGTGTGCATGTGTGTGTGCGTGTGGGTTTGTGAGTGTGTTCCGTGTGTGTGTATGTGTGTTTGTATGAGACAGTGCACAATAAATGTCCACCTCTTCACATCCCAGGAGTAAAAAGGGGAGATCTTAATGTTGTCTTTGGAGAAGGGGTGACTGTTTTGAGCTCTAAATCATTTTGTGAAGTACAGTGTTCTAGCTGTGTATTAAAAACCTCATCCAAGTATTCATATCAAACAACACACTACACTATCACGTCAGCATCCTTTCCTGAACACTAAACTTAGCATTGATTCAAAGTATTGAGTGTAGATCTATATAGACACACAATGATTTGTTCCCTCATTTAGAAACAGACCTGGAGTTGTTTTTAGATCCATCCATGCTATTATCACAAACTTCTGGCACAAACATGTAACTCCACCCCTTCTGTCTGAAAGCTCCTGCCTCAGTCCTGTAATAGTTTAATTAAGTGTAAAAAAGCATTGCAACAAAATTAGTTTTGGCAATTTCTCATTACGTTGTTTATGATCACATGGCTGTGTTTGGAGCTGGAATACGTTTTAGTCGAGAAAAAAAAATTGAATAATTCTACGCCTCAAATAATGTTTGAACCTTATTTCTTGTTTCATCAAACATTTTCTACTAAAACACATGAAATGACATAAATTGCCAAAAATAAGGCCTACCATTTCTTCTTTGATTGGTTTGTGCAAATGTATCTTTGTGACATACGCTCATGTTATGGTATTTAAGAGTTGCAGATTATAATAACTGTCACATTTATATGAATGCATCGAGCACTTTACATGATATTTTTACAAACAGCAACATTTCCAAAGCCAATAACCAAAACTGACTATTCACTGGATATCAGAGAATGTTTACCACAATAATGCTGAGAAAAGTCCACTTTTTCATAAACAATCACAAACTTCAAGTGGCATAACAAAGCTGTTTAAACAGTGTTTAACTCAATCTGGCCAAAACCAGTCTGCATTTAACTTTTTTGGTTTATGGATTAACTTGAGGTGACAAACCTCATGTATGGCTACTGTTCCCGTGGTAACGGTGGACAGTAAGGGCGGGGCCAGGGGGGACGTTTTCATCCTTATTCACTGTCGCTCTTTACTTTTATTACAGCCGCTCTCAAACTGAGCACTAAAAGAGCGCTGCAGACTGCCAACACCTTGTATATGGCTTCTCACTAAAATCCTTGGGCTTCTGTTCGCTTTTATGTGTGTGAGTTACAGTGAGAGGCTGTATTTTCTGTTGTTCAATGGATCTCTTCATTTCTGCGAGCGTGACAGCCTGTTCGTCATCCTCACAACTGACCTTCAGCCCACCTATATCCCCTCCCCTGGCCCCAAATCACCACACTACAAAACACATTTTCTTTTTTTTTTTCAAAGAACTTGCAGGAAATATTACCTCATTGGCAAATATATGATTAATTATCATGATAGAAAATCCATCTGAAATTGTAACCAATGTAACTAACTTTTAATCATGTGATAACTGTTTTTTTGCTTTTCACATTGTCTATTCTTTACTTACTTGGTTTCTACCCTTTCTAAATGTGCACACACAAAACACCTGTTCTATATGTTCTGATGATGTTTGAGGTGATGTTACATGAAAGGACAGGTTTACTTTAGTTTAGTCTTGAAAGGACAATGCACAGAGACATTAAGCTCGATGACATTATGTTCTGTACCAGATTATAGCTAAAATGGTAGGTTCCATCTGCAGTCCCTGTTAAAATTTGTGATGACAGTTTCCAAAGTGGAATCGTTTTTAGATGATAGAGATAATACATTTTTGAGATATTACAGTAATCCATGCTTGTATCACATCATAGAAGACCAAAAGACAAGTCTTGCTTTAATCTAGAATAATCTGAACTCAAGTCCTTTTAAGCATAAAAAGATAGTCAATTTTTGCAGTGCACTTCTCCCTCCCTTGGCTTTGTCATTGATCGCTGATCCGATTGGCTGCTCTCACGCCGGGTAATGGCCTGCCGTGGTAACCAGCCGGCTTTGCTCAGCCCCGTCTAGATTGAACTGTCACATGGCAGCGATTAATGGCACAGCAGGGGGGATGTGGAGGCCACACCTGCCTGGATCCTGCCTAGGTCTTGCCTGGTCCTGATTGGGTCCTGCCTGAGTCCTGCCTAGGTCCAGTCTACAAGTTCTGCCCATAGACTATATATAATTGGACAGTGCTAACCTGCACTCTGAAAAAGAAGTGCTCAGGAACAACATTTTCCTCAAACTCTCTTTGGCTCCAAATGACTTCAATTGAAAATTAAACTCTGTAATGGTTCATGTCACACAAAATCCATGATTTAGCATTCCCCGATCCTAGTATTTAGAATCTGATATTGTCTTGGTATATCCAGATATGAGCCCTAACAACTGACCAATCAGATTTCTTCTGTCCCTGAATTCAACACCAGCGCCACTTCTGATTATTCTTGGCAACCTAACACATTTTCATACATTTGCATACGCATTCCCTCTCAAACAGCCTGTTTGAACTAGCTCTAATCGGCTTCCTCCGCAATAAGGCAAACATTGTTGACGATAGCACTCGGTGGATCCCTGGCCCCAAATCATCACACTACCAAACATGTTTTTATGCATTTTTTCAAATGAATTGCAGAAATATTACCTCATTGGCAAATACATGATTATCAATATGATATTTCTAGATGAAATATATAAAGCATTGTGAGATTTCATAACACTTTGAAGCAACTTTTGTCAAAGTTAAACTCATCATTCTATCAATGTGCAGAAGCCAGTACTTTTCCCTTGTTTTGTCTATCTGAAGGCCAAGCTACATGGCACCGTGGAAGCTACTGATTGGAGGTCTCCATGCCTCCGCTCTGTATAATACACTTGCATTCTGTTGTATCTGTCGTTCGTGCTGTCTCTACCATTGACAATAAAACATGTCTTCTGTCTGAATTAAAGACACGATCCCAGACTATGTCATCTTCTTCAGCATCTTCTTATGAGTCAAAAATGTCTGAAAATATAACCGATGATGATTTATGAACTTCATGTGATCATTATTTTTCGCTTTTCATGCCGATTCAAAGTTGAAGGGAGACATGCATGCTCTTGCCCTCAAACACCATCGTACATTACTTACTTACTGACCGTGGCCTTGACCTATGGACTTGCCTGGGTCTGGCCTGGTTCCAGTCTGAATATTGTCTGCTCTGCCTGCAAACTCGCAGGTGGACGGCCGCTAGAATATGTGCGAAATATGGATTCTGATGTGTCTAATATGTTTAGAGATGCTAATAAATCATAACTTTAATATGCACTGGCCTAAGGGTATGCAAAGCTCCAGCACAGGATAATCTGGAGGAGAGAGTGAACAGGACCAACATTGAGGTCAGACCGGGCCGACAAAATGTGTTTTCATTTTTTGATGTGGTTGAAGTGCATCCAAGAAACTATTAATGGGGTACATTCAGCAAACAACAGATTCATTTTTGTATACAACTTTTTAACTTCAGCCTTGATCAGTTGTGACATGGAAATAAGTCAATGAAGTATAGAGTCTTACACTAAGTGACAGCACCATATCAGGGCTCTTCAACATGTTGCTCTCCACCCAGTTCGAGAAAACTAAAGTTTGGAGGCCAGACTAAAACTCAGATGGGCAGATATCAAATGATAAATAGCTTAGTTTGTCGATGGCAATACATGTGGGACCAAGTATGATTCAAATATTGAACGTTATTCATATCCAACAGCTTGAATTTGGATGAACACATTTAGAACATGGGCCTAGAACAAAATGTTTCACAAATATATAATCCTAAACTAAAAGGACAGCAAGACGATAATGACACACATTGCATTTTTGTTGCTCGGAATACGTAATCGAATCAAATTGATATGATTGCTCAATAAGTGCAGATACTATGATAGACATTTGTAGCAACCAATAAATGGCTATTAACTGTAGTGGCCAATAAACGACTATGGAAGCCATTTATTGGATAGATGGTCCTCTGAACTCACCACAGTGCATGCAAGCCTGAAAAGTTATCCTGACTTGTCATGTAATAGTAGCGGTTATATGATGTTATGATTTCTGTTGGAGTGTACGCACAGCACAAGAGAACACAAAGCACGCACAATCGCACACAAAAACAAAAGCGAGGACGCAAAAGGTGAACCACATTATAGTGTTATTAAGTAAGCAAGTAAAGTTTAGCCTTTCACAGACCAGGATAACAAAGCGCTTCACAATTAAAGACACGCAGAGAAAAATAGTAAACATACAAGTCAGTTCTAAAAGCATATATACAGAATCGTGAACACACTTCAGATAGGCCTGCGGTGAGGCGAGAAAGCCTTCCAAAACAAAGAGGTCTTAAGATGCGACTTGAAGTTGTCCATTGACTAACAGGCACAGAGATTATAGTGAGGGACCACTATACTCTTAAGTTACTTCATAAAAAGCAAAAGATACGCTGCATATGCCTATATTTACTCCCATACAACCCAGGAGTCCATAAATTTAGCACCATTTCACTGCGGGCTGCTGAGGCTCGTGGCCATAGAGGAGAGCCCGTGTTTTGTCGACCACTGCTTTTACTTTTGGAACCAGGGAACGAGAGCTTTGGGAAAGGTCTGGAAACGTCCCATTCATCAGTGAAAGGAGATACTGCGCTGACAGCTCGCAGTGGTCCAGCCAAGCACAACACAGAGGGAGCGACCGCGTGGGCTCCACAGACAGAGACCAAACAACCCCCTCATCTGCACAAAGTCACACGTGTTAGCATTTTAGCCATTTATTGGGATTCTCTCTTCCCCATAAGTGCGAACAGTAGTGTAAGTGAATGATTGCAGGTGGAATCATAACTAATATAGTAATAAAGGAGAACTGTGAAGGGCCTCGGAGAAGTAATGGTTACAGGGTGGTGGTGAAGAGAGAGTGTGGTCTAACATATAGGCTTGTTTAGAATAGTGCTTGAGTATGCTGTCAAACTAGATACAAGGGCTCAGAGGATATCATGTACAGAAACCATGTGCTTTCAATTAGAAAGCTATTTATGTAAGTTTGAATGGCCATGGTGTAAATTGGGAAGTGCAATCAAAAGTCAAAATAAAGTTTAATGAATGGGTGGATCTCAGTCTACTTTTTCTAATACATTGTACGCCTCAAAAAACAATGACTGATTAACATTTCTTAACGGGTATTAGGCAAATTGTGAGCTTTACAATAATTTATTATCACTAGAAGAAAACAATTGTTATTGCAAAAAGCTTATTTGTATTCCACTTCACAGACTCAAATAAACTGTATACTTTAATATATTTCATATGTGGCGCCACCTGCATGTGAAATCCTGATCCCATCAGACCTTTGAAGCTAAATAGGGCAGGGCCTTGTTAGTTCCGTGATGGGAGACCTCTGTGAACACGAGCACGGTGGGGTGGCTGCAACTGTAAAGCGCCAAACTGCCGTTGTGTCCTTAGGCAAGACACTTCTATCACATTGCCTATAATCTGAGTGTGCATATGAGAGAGCCGATGGCACAGACAGGTTTCCTCACTTCTGTCAGTGTGCCGCAGGGCATAGCTACAGCACTAGTTCATCACCATTGTGTATAAAGTGACGGAAAATGCCATGAGAAGCATTTTTGAGTGTCCAAAAAAGCGCTATGTAAACTGATGCATTAATGTTATCACTACTTTGTGACCATTACTGCAGTGTGCTTTGTGCAGCCAATAAAAAATAACTATTTGTAATGCTCAACATAAGACATAATCAAGAGTAGCCTTCTGATAGCTTAGTTTTTATATCCCTGTCTGTAAAGCATTTCTCTTAAACTGTACATAACAATGAATGAAGTGGAAGTGGGTCATAGGTTTGTGAGAGCTATGGATCAATATACCTCCTGCTACAACAACTGAACAACACTGTATTGTAAAGCAGTCTACAAGTGTCAACAATCTTGGAGAGCATGTTCTGAAATTAGCAAAAATGAAGATGGAAGCAGAGCGACTTTGAACCAGCCAGACATGAATATCCGGTCAGCAGGGGTCCGGCAAAGTGTGCGAAACACAGATAAAATCGATTAGCTTGTCCACTGACCCGGTAAGCAGCGGGGGCCTCCCACTGCCCCAGCCCTGCCAGCGGCCTGACAGAGACATCCAGGCCCAGGTCCCATGGGGTCCCCTGCAGACTCTGAGGTGAACAGTAGAGCTCTCCTGTCAAGACTAAAGCCCCGGAGCAGCAGCGGGACAACACACCAGCCTGAGCCGCTCCACTAACTCCTGATTCCACCAGAGACGGGGAGAGGACACCAGCACTGCATATAGGACACAGAGCCAATCCACAGGCCCCATGTCAGCTACACACTACACACAGACTAGGAAACAAGCTTGTCTCTCTTCATAAATATTGGTTTACGAAGGAAACACTGTCCACTTACTGCCTGACCATGGAATGTGAAGTGGTCAAAGTGCCACTTGCCTGAGAACAATAACCACATCTTATTTGTGAGGAGTAGAATTAGTGTGAGAAGTAGAATTAGTGTGAGAAGTAGAATTAGTGTGAGAAGTAGAATTAGTGTGAGAAGTAGAATTAGTGATCAATATTTTATGTACAGGAAAAGACACACAGGACAAGACATACAGAAATAATGAAGTATTGAAGATATGTTGGTAGACATGGATTTCATTTCAGACTTAAAAAACAATGAATCAGAAAAACACAGTAAACATCTAGGCAGTACATTTTCTGGAGTGATGTCTTTAAATATCTTAAGTAATATAGAACTAATTATTATGTCAATTAAGTTAAATATTAGAAAGGGGAAATTTTCCTCTGTTTGGTTGAATGCAGAATCCAGCCATGCTAGAGTCTTCCAGTCGCCTTAGTCCTGCTTCAGTCCTACGTCAGTCCTGCCTCAGACCTGTCTCAGTCCTGCCTCAGTCCTGCCTCAACCATGCCTCAGACCTTCTTTAGTACTGTCTCAGACCTGCTTTAGTCCTGCCTCAGTCCTGTCTCACTTGTGCCACAGTCCTGCCTCAATTCTGCCTCAGTCCTTCCTAAAACCTGCCTCAGTCCTGCCCTAGTCCTGATTAAGACCTACCTCAGTCCTGCTTTAGTCATGCTTAAACAGCGCGTTGTCCGTTCACAAGAGTAGTGCCACATTTACATATACATGTCAGTATATAGACACACAAAGTCATCTACTGGTGTCAGGTTCTGAGCTTTAAATGAGGTATAGCAGTGGCCGAGCTGAAGTTGGCTGGATGACACTCACTTTATGATCTCAATGCGTTTAAACTGTAGGTTAGCAAGGGCCACATAAAATGACACGGCTGGTCTGTCTGCCATATTAAGTATTGTGGTTAGGATTGGAGTCCTTACAGATGTTTCACAAATCCAAATATTACCAACTGTAATGTTCGTATGGTTAATAGATTATTCTTGCTGCCAGTGGTATTTAGCCAATCCACCAAATTAATTCTGACAAAAAATATTTCTTCATTTTCCATTATTCCACCTGCTGTCCCAACTATGTCAAACTGGCTCAGAACATTATAACTGCAAGTTTGATTTCACCAAGAACAATGCATTATATGATCATTTTCCCGTCAATGATCTAGTAATTATTCTCTAAATAGGTTCTGTGCATGTTCTAGAATTCTATTTCAGTTGAAAGTCTATTGGAAAGATGCAAAAGAAAAAAATAAATCAAAAGTTTTTTCCAGATGATTATTTGATAGTGATAAGACTCACAAACCCTACCATATCATTTCCTGAAGTCCTTTCTGCTACCACTTCTAGACCCATTTTATGAGAAAAGGATTAGACCATAGTTGACACATACAGAAAATGTGGAACTGCAGATTGGCCCAGGAATTACAGAGAAATTAGATCTAACATATAAGACTAAATGTAAGTTTTGCCCCTACCTCTAACACTCACCAAAGTTACCAGGAAAGACGTTTCAAATGCCCTCCACCTCAATGCTTAACTATAAGTTCATTGGAATGTTGTGCGGTCACATGAAGGAAAGATTTTAAATGGTGTTTTGACCATGTGACCTGTGAATTTAGACCCGGATAAATCAAATAATCCCTGAAGAAATGAAGCCCTGAGTTGTTTCACGTACATATCCTCACTTAATGACATCATGTTTGGCTGGTGACATCTCGCTTAAGCAAACACACATTGTCCGTGCACTGCTGACACTTCGAGCACCTGTTGGCGGAGTGAGACTTTCCCTCTCGCCTTTGTTTTCTCGACAAGATTTCCTGTTTCGGATCACGGGTGAGAAGCGCTTCTTTGATTCCCGCTCATTGTGTCAGATCTGACCCAGCAGGGCGCGCAAGCTCTTCTCCCGTGTGTTACAATAATATTTCGCAGGCGCTTTAAGGATGCTAACGCTAATCAAAACAGGACATCCTGACGAGAAGGGCCCGCGAGCTCTCTCCTGCTCGCTGACCGCTTCATGTTTTTGTGTTTGCGGACGAGTGACAATCCCAGGAAGCCTCGTCGAGGGTTCATCAAAGCTCGGAGCAGGGGGCCCGGAGCGCTGGAACGTCGGAATGCGCGATGGAAAGGAATCTCTACTGTCCTATTGTTCGCTTGTTTCCTCCGGTCTCATCACATGCCGACACGTCCAGTTCACTTACAGGTAAAAGAGCGCTAATCAGGCCGCATTCCATTCCAAAGCCCGCACGGATTCTTTGCTCCTCTGTGGCACTGACCTCAGCGGAGCGAGCATGCCGGTGTGCACAGTCAACATGCATATTGTCAAGAAAGTCACGATGATAATGGGGATAGGATGATAATGAGATGATCTAGGAGAAGATGCTCCATTTTAAATCGAGTTTGAGTCCAATTTGGCTAAAAATGTCTAATCCACCAAAATGTAGTCACATTGAAGCCACATTTATTTCTATCATACTTTTGATATGAGTCAGATAGTACAGGCAAAGTGGTGAAATACAATTCTGTGTAGTCATTGTAACTTATCTCAAGTTCTCTGAGATAACTACTGTGGTGTTTTAGAGCTATACAAGAATTCATGGAATTGAATAGAATTACTTTCTCACTTATAGAGTGCTCCTTTCTACAGATATTTATACAGATTTACAGGTCTATTCACCCAGACAAAGATCTGGCATACACTTGAAAACATGTTAGAGTGCATTGGTTATATACAGTGCCCGTGTCACTGAATCAGGCTACAAATATGAGCCATCGGCCCCTTCGACCACCACCAATCCTTCACCTACATAACAGTCTCTGAAAATGGGTGAAGTGTCTTGTCTAAGGACACCACTGTTGCACCTGGTGTTCCCAGAGATCTCCCATCACAGTAGTAGCCTGCCCTGCTTCACCTCTAGAGATCTGACAAGATCCGGCTTTCACATGCAGGTGGTGCCACAAGCATAATAAAAAATATATTTTTAGTGGAATAATGAATTGTATCTATGTGAATATGGAAGCCAGTGCCCACCACCACAAAAGTTGCAGAGTAATCCTTTGAAAGAGCATTGTAAAATGTACACACATCGTCTCATTTCCAAAAAAAAGTTATTGCTTTGCCTTGGATATTCCACATACTGTAGGTTCCACATAAGGATACAGATGATGGCACCTCAAGCCCAAGCTACTGAGCAGATCTATGAAGAACTAATCAATTTTTTTGAGCAGGTCATACAAAACAAAAAACAATCCAATAGGAAAACATTTCAAGAAAAAGTAGACACAGCTCAAAGGGAGTAAGCCGAAGTAAAATACTAACAAACTAACACTTTGTTATATGGATGCTTTATTCCATACACAATACAGCACTCTATGGCTCCAAGTACATTCCATGTCAAGCTCTCCATGGAGAAAAGGACACTGAAGATGAGAGTTGGATGTCATTCCTGGTTCATCCCCATTTCTTATGGTTTGGGACAGACAGACAGACAGAAACGCAGTGAGCTGGATTTTTATTCCTGGGTTTCAACTTCCTGTTTGAGATCTTGTAACTACTCAATGGATAAAACAATGTGTTGCGAAACCCCATGGATGTACTCATTGATTTATAATGACTGTAATTTCTTCTGTAAACACCGGCTACATAACAGTGCTCTTGAGGAACACTTATATTGCGATGGAACAAATATGACAGTATGAATTACAGACACCACTTGTTTAAACATCGGAGCTTCCTGATTCTTTCGAGAGATAAGATTGTTTGCCCTCTTATCTTTCGTGTTTTGGATGTCCTTGGCCGCAGGAGTGTCCGACAGCACATCCAATCAGGTGGATGTGTTGCAGCCCATCGGGAAGGCTCTGGACTTTGATCGCACCCCCTCCCCTCCGCGGCCCCCTCCATCCTGCTCATGTCAGAGGTCGTCTCTTAATGAGCTTCAGAAGGAGGAGATGAAAGTTGTGCTGGAATCATCGCGTGCTCACATAAACACACTCTCCGTCCAGGCGTCGAGCAAAGACAATGATCAGTTTGAGAAGTCGCAACAATCGTTTCATGTTCTTTTTGTGGCCAGTTTATTTTGTCGCATTTGTGAATATGTGCAGTTTAAAAGGTTTGTTTTGGTAAATTGACTTTTCCCCTTTCACCTGCCCGCTTTAGTTTTTCCATTAATTCTTGCATGTCTGGTTAATGCCAATTTACAGTCCTCTATTTACTATCTACTACTATCTACTGTCACGCAAATGGGATTCAGCAGTTACCATAATCATAAAGCATAAAGGGTCCAGGAAATGAACTTTTAATCAAATCACATTCGACCCATCTGTATTGAGATTTAAAAGATTCCAAAGTGCTTGAAGGTAGTTTGTGCTTCTTTACTGACAATAGTAAGAGAGTGATGAGTATAAGGACCTTTACATGTTTGGACGCTTCTGAAAAGAACAGAGGTTATAAGAACGAAACAAGGTTATAACATTGCCATCTTACTATTGTCTGGTGCTGACGGATAAACTTAACTTCTACAAAGAATACAAAATGATCATTCCTAACCTATTCAATGTACAGCACGGAATCAGGTTTACAACGCACAATGTTCTTTACAAATAGTTCACATTTAGATTACCAATATAATAGCTATAGTCACTTTTAACTGAATTGTCCAAAATATATCTTGCACAAAAGAGACTATCTTTTCACTTTTTAACATGTTTCACCTTTCCGGTTTGAACCATTCCTTGTCTTATGCACAACCTGAGTGATTCTCTTAATGCCAAATGTCATCTTCCTCCATCCATACCCTCCAACTACAGCATTCGCAATTCCAAAATACCCTCCCCTGATAATCCTCCATGATTAGAAGAATTGAAAAGATGTAAGTGCAGGCCATTAACATTGGAACAATTCATTCCACAGCCCTCTCTTCACGCATGTTCAAGACTGGCAGCTTATGAGTGATATCAGTGCAGGGCTACTGTTGCCTGACGTCCATATAAAACCTCTAAACAAACTAGTTAGCCGTTATGAAACACGAGGCCACTGCGTCGCGCCTGTTTTGACCCCTCACCAGACGTAATTGATTGGAGTATAAAGTGATTGAGTTTCTTTAATTAGCTAACAGACATCCCCCCCCCCCCCCCCCTCTCTATATATGGGCACGTTCATTAATAGCCGACCGAAATGCAACCATCAGCAATCTGTTGACACTACACCTCTACAGACATCATAAGCTCTCACAAATCACGATGACGACTGAGGAAACTTTGGTGCGGCTCAGCAAAGTGCCATTTATCCCCGACCGTTTTGTGACGCCGAAACGATGGCACGTCACCCACTTGACGAGTCCGCAGTAAACTCAGCCTTTGTTTTTTTCCACGCACCGTAAAAATACGCTTAGCTCGGGGGACCGCGTTGTTGATAATGACCTAAGACTTGGCACAGTGGACCCAGACTGGGGGCTTTTGGAATGCGCGTGCTCCACTATCACAAACTGTGTGACCTTTAGATTGAAGGGGCGGAAATGTTTCTTATTAGAAGCGGAGAAAGCGGGATCATTGTTCGTTTTTGTTGGTGTGTTGGTCCCTGAGGTATATGTGCAGAGGTTCCCATGGCTGGATATGTCTTCGCTGGGCTCCAGGAATCGCTGAGCTCCACCATTTCCCATCCAAAACAACAATATGAGGATGCACTTCACAGTCTTCTTGGCAAAAAGTGTACAGCTATAAAACTCATAGAATCCATAAATACACCCCCCCCCCCCCCATCATGTCTAGCGTCTTTTTAATAACTATGATACTATAAAATACACTAAATACACTAAAAAAAATATTTATAAAAGGAGGAGGAACACCACCGGGTAAGCACTTTTTCTGGCCTTTTTAATGCACCTTACATACTCCTATAGAATGAACCAATTAGTTAACAAATATGAATTAAGTGTATAAAGGGGCAGCAATAGTGGAGGGCAGGTTTCACTTTAGTAAGTTCGGACTTGGTTGGGCCATGATCATGAGGTACAACAAATAGGCCGCACATCTCACACCACAGCCCCATAGTTACTCGCACCCAAACCCATGGAGTTTCAATTAAAAATTTAATCTCAGTTTGTTTGTGTCTTTTTCCACTATTTTTTTCTTTGTTATTGTCTTGTCCTTGTGTTATTGTGGAATGTTGTGTCTGTCCGTTTTGGTGTCCGTTTCTACTTTAGACTTATTTTTGCTACTGCTATCTTGATATAGGGCAACTCCTAATCCAATTTGGAGTGATGTGGTGGCTTGGTCTTTAATGTTTCAAGTGTATCAGACAACATAAGATAGAATTTCTGTTGTTCTTCAGTCGGACATTTTTAGTCAAGCAAATGTCTTTACTTCAAAATGTACCAACACTATGGCAAGATAATAAGTAAAGCAGCAAAAGGCACACACAAAAATCCAAATTGTACACCTTTTATATCACGTGTGTTAAAAGACAACAGGACGAGCCGAGTGGGCCATATGAGGTAGATTATCAGTAGCAGTAAAATAGTGTAGATGTATGTTCCATGTTCCACAAGATTTATATATGATTAGCAAAATAGTAAGCTAAAATGAAAGAAAAAAGTTCCATATATCAGGGACATTGATATCTAATGAACTACAGTATCATATGTGCATGCACAATTTTAAGTGTATTGAAAATCATCTGTAGATGGTCAGATGTCCCCAAGATCATGAGAGTGGGCAACATATACTATGCTCCCCAGTCTTCAGAAGTCTTCTACTTGGCTAAGTAGAATACTTCAGCTGACAGTCCAGTAGCCTACTGTAAACAGTCTGTCTAGGAACAGAGAAAAATGATTTTGATTAATTATAGGCTTAGCCAAATGTTTATGATTACGGTTATGGCTAGAACATTGTGTACCGTTAATTCTAAAAGGACAGCGAGTGGTGAGCTGCCAGTTCTGGGGCTCTTTGAGTCCAGACTTTTAAAATCGAGCTCTTTGAAATATCAGTGTCTCTTTTGGCCTCCCTGGAAAGGCCATGTCCATGTCTTTCTAACAACTTCTTTGATCAGATTGAACAATGCACAGTGCAGATATTGCACATTTGTTTTGCATGTACATTTTCATGTGTTTTTTTTATATTTAAACAGTATTTTTATGTGCACACTTATTTTTTACTGAAAATGATAAATGACTGAAACAGTTGAATCTTGAAGGGAACAGTTGTCATAGAACCATGGCCGCTCCAACAATCTAACCCTGTCCTTGCAATTAACTTCATGCATGATCTTGCACACCTTTAATCAAAAAATCTTATATTTTGTCTTGAATTATGAGTCTCTATAGCAACAGTACCATTTTTAATCATTCCGTGGTCCACACATATTTGTGCAGAACAGAGGCTCTTCTTGGCAACAAGTTTTGAATGGATTTTCTTTTTCTAATTTGCAGACTGCAATCCAGACAGCTCATAACATACATCATCAAATCCTAGCAAGTAATATTTTGGGAAGCTTCCATATTTGATAAAGACGTGAAAAGTGGATCCCCCTTGTGCTGGGACCTCTCTGTCAAGACCCCTGGGACCCCCCTCCTCTTCCCCTCCTCAACCAGGACGGGCCCATCCTTCAAGTGGATGACAACAGTGCATAAACAAACCACTAACCTCATCAGCTCTGTTAACAGCCCTGAGACCCAAAATCCTGCACCACTCATTAACATCTGAGACCTTCCCAGAGAGCCCCCCACCCAAAAAGAAGCCGGGAGGGAGCAGAAGAGGACAGAAGTGGACAACATGTCAGACGGGAGGGGACGTTGATCGATGAGAGGGTTCTGGCTGGTATACAACCTGACACAGACGCCCCCAAAACAACAAAAGATATTTTTTTTGTAAGAGAATCATGCCTTGAACTTTTACGAGACTTAAACCCTGTTGTTGTCCCAGTTTAAATATGTTACGGCAATACAGCCTTCAACGCCAAACACGACTTGATCAGGATTGCTCTCCACTCGAGTGATTCAAAACGCAGAAATGTATCATCAAAGTTGACTATCTCATATGATACAGGTGCAGACATACAAACCAACACAAAAAGACAGGAACACACAACAGACAACATTGTGGACATGTACGTGTGTGTGTGTGTGCATGTGCGGGTGCTTGCATGCACAGTGGTAAATGTATGTGTACCTTCGCAAAGGGGAACATGAATAATATTATCAATGACCAGTAGTAAAACAAAGAGTGACATATAGTATGAGAAAATAAAATGGGTAATCATAGTTTGACATTATAATGATCATTGACACTTGTTTCATTTTACAAATATGTACTGTATTTGGTGACATAATGCTTTATTGATTCAAAAAAAGTTTTTTCCATCCGTCCACCATATGTTCCCCTATTTCCCCTATCTTGAGTAAAAGTTTGGACACGTCGACGGTGGTGCATTAAAAGGACACTATGAAGCATCTCCAGACGGACGGCTGTTCCAAGGACATCAAATCCATCAACGTGGATTGAGTCTTCTTGATCATAGATTAGTTTAGCAGAAGTTGAAATTCAATGCACTATTTTGACTTGTACCACAGTTCTTTCAACATAAACATAATTAGCAATACTACCACTATATAATTGTGATTTCCGTATAGCATATGAGCCTATATAGTAGAGCATCAGGTTAATACATACAGAAAGCATAATGTAAACAGTTAAAAAGGTTTACAAGCTTTTCAGAATACCACTGAAAAGTATAACATAATGCATTGGTTTTATAATGTTGCTTTTTCAAAGGGACAAGTTCATAAATAAGCATCCAAAAAGCGCTATACAAGTATATGATGCATTATTATAAACATTCAAATACTCACATATAACACTCAAGATGCTTCACATGGCATTGTTCATTCACTCCTTTCACAGTGGTGGTAAACTTCTGATGTAGCCACAGCTGCCTGACTGAAGCTAGGCTGCCAATGCATGCAATCGGCCCCTCCAAACACCACTTATCCTTTGCCCAGGCACACAAACACACACAGGCAATGTGGGGGATGAGTCTGGCCTAAGGACGCGACAACAGTTTAGCTGCCCCACAAACGGCCCCCGTCACAGTACTAACCAGGCCTGCCCTGCTTAACTTCTCAAATCTGACGAGA